TGAAGAAAAGGGAAAGGAATATTGAGAGCCAGATGACATATATAATATATATTTCTTCTATGCCCCATAGAACTATTAAAAGAGCTGCCAAAACTTGCTTTTTTTTTCTCTTTTTGACTTGAAGGAATAGAAAGTGCTGGTGGGGAAGAGGGTGGCAGGAGAAAAATGAATAAATTGAGCTGATTCTTTCTGGGGTTCCAGGCCTCACCCAGGGACCCACTGTGTGAGTCAAAAACATCTACCCAAGGAAGAGGCAGCTTCTCGACTAGAGGCATGTCTGCTCCAAGGCTCTGAGGAGCCACAAGAAGAATGCTCACAGTTTGGGTGAACTTTCTCTTCACCACTCACTCCATACCACAAGAAAAGTAAACAAAACAATATTCAGTCCTCAGAATCCAGCCAGGAGTAGATGTATTTGGTTCTCAGTCAGGATGAGAAGTGAGTCGAGGAAAATCCACTCATTTCATGGCAGAGCAAATAGGAAACCTGGTACCCTGCGTCTGACACACAGGAAAGATGAAAAGCAACATTGCTGCAACTTCATCCACAGAGGAAGAATACAGAAGAGGACAGAGAGAGATTTAAGTAATAGCATTCAAAACAAATGAAAATCTAGTGTGCAAGAAAGTATAACTCAGACAAAAGATCTTTTTTTGCAAATGCTTCACCCTTTAACAAAAATGTACATTCAATTTTTAAAAAGAGTTCAAAAAGGAAATGATAAAAACAACAAAATAAGACTAACAGGTACATTGTGTGCTCAGGAAATGCATCAATAGCCCAAACAAACAGAGGTATTAGATTGGAAGTAGCAAGGTACAGAGTAGATACACCAGAAAATCAAATTACTGACAGAAAGGGAAGGTTTAAGTGCATGCAGATGATAGACTGAGGCACTGAAAACCAGAGAGAAGCTAATAATGGAAATGTGTGAAATATACAATTGTGTCTGTGCAGCACAGACCCAACCAATGGAGCCGGAGTACCCTGAATAAAGCACCAATCTCCCTGACAGCCATGACCCACAAAACAAGGAAGACAGCTGCATTCCAGGCAAATGGCTACAGAACAATAGACACTAAGACCACACAGACTCTAGTTAACTTACAACAATCCAAGACACAAAAAGGGGATTCTTAGGCAAAAGTAAATCACTTTCAGGAGCAATAAAAATAAGGGTCTAAAGACTTCTCCGTGGTGTCAGTCAATGCCAGAAGAATGTCTACAAAGTCCTAAGGATCATATGCCCTACCCCAAGAACTTTAAGCCCAGCCACACCATCCTCACATGGTAAAGACAGCAGGCAGATACTACATGCTCAAGCACTTACCCTGTAAATATGGCCCATGAAATACAGCCCACAAGGAACGTGGAAAGGGAGATGTTACTGTAAGGGGACTGCTCATGAATGTACTAAACTCACTTACTGTAGACCTAGCACTTTGAAGAACAGCATGTAAAGGTTGCAAACCCCAGCAAGGTAATAATAGGAGACAGCTAGCAATTAGAAGATGGAACATGGAGGAAGGAGATAGTATTAACTGTGCTGATTTCTTATTCTTACTGTAATTTTTCAATTCATTCCAGTCTAAAATTAAAATACATTATAAAAATATGTAATAATTCCAACAATTTTGCAAAATCACTTTTAATTTTAGAGGGATCTCCTAGGAACTAATATCTCTTATAGTGAAAAGATTTTCTAAAAGCTGAGCAACTTTTTTTGGCTATCCTTCAAATTCTCTTCTAGAAATTTGAGAAAGGTAAAATTAGCACTGTGGGAGGCTGAGGCAGGAGGATTGTGAAGATTGAGGTCAGCACGTGCAACTTAGTGACTTACCAAGACCCTGTCACAAAATTTAAAGAACAAAAATTAGAAAAGTCTGGAGATGTAGCTCAGTGCAAGGCCCTGGGGTCCATCGACAGTACCACAAAAGAAAAAAAGGAAAGTTTAATTCTTTCATTAGAAATAGGATATATCTTACATAACAGTGAATTATTCCGAGCTAGCAATCTATCCTTCCTTCTGCATACATGCAAACAGAGGTGCCTGGACTAATGATCAACTAATATTAATAATGGTCCCTTCTAAGACCCGAAGTCCCTTATAAAGTAACTCAGTCCCTGTAGTGTGCTATATTACACATCTTATAAGGGCCAGTGTTCCTTCTACAAACTGAAAAGTCATGCTTAAATTATAAATGCCAAAAAAAAGCTTCCACTGGATTTTTAAATAAAATATAAAGCATAGGGTAACTATATAAAACTTCATAAAGCAAATAAATAGAAGGAAATAGAAATCACTCATAATATCACCTTCAGCGTCAACCACAGTTAATGGTTTCCCATCTTGGGTTGGAAATAACTTCAGAGAGACAACATCAAATATTTAATAAATAGTCCCTTATATTTTATATTCTCCCAGTAATTTTATGGTTGTATTAATTGCTTCTAAATATTTAATGGATTAGAGTTTATTTTAGTTTTTGGTGTGAGAGCATTTTTCCTGTTATGCTTGTTTAGTTAGCCAAATGCCATGTTTTGACTAATGCTTTCTTTGTGGATCTGAAATATCATCTTCGTCAAGCTCTCACCAAGGACAAGTGACCCTCAGAACAGAGTACTCTGTCACGCCCCACTTTTGGGGGGCGCTCAGGAACTCCCAGCCTGCAGAGCAATCTCAGCCTTCTGCTCTGGGGCCCTCTGTGTCCCTGTCCCCATTCCTTGCCTGTGTCTCCCACAGCACTTACTTCTGTGACAGCAGATTCTACATTGCAGGAAGACAGGCAGCACATCTGGAATTCCTCCTCACCTTTCACATCTGGGCAGAGTGCCTAGCACAGTCAACAGGCTCTCAAAACACCTTGTGCTTCCCTCACCCCTTCCTACCTGCATGCTGCAGAGGACACATTATTAGCAAAAGCCAGGAAACAATGCCTAGGATTTTTGTGTATTTTAAACATTAATTAGAATACATCCCATTTCACCATCCCCATTTTTGAAGACTTGCAAGTCACTACCTTTACTTTTTTCAACAACATTTCCCTTCTAGTTGTCTTCCTAATAGTAATTACTTGCAATCCTCATCACACTGAAGAAAGAGCTGATCACATATGCCCAAGAGAATTCTGCTCTTCCAGGACCCCTGAGGGCCACACTGAGGACCTGGCCTTGTACCCACTACCTCACCAAGTCCAGCATGTTCCATGACCAGACTGTGTGTTGAAGGTGCAAATTCCCTCTGATCAATGTTATCATTATGTATATCTAAAATGTACTAATAAATGTTTTGCTAAAAAAATGTAGCCCCCCCCAAAAAAGGCCCCTCAGAACTCTGAATCCGCCAATCTATGGGAAGTTTCCTAGCCAAAGCAACATGCTAGAACCTAGTCTTAGCAGCAGAGAGTAGGATCTGACTAACTGCCTACTGCCAACCACAGGTTCAATTGTTCTCAGGATGTAATGCTGAATCCACCAGTGACACTCTGCCATTTCAAAGAAGAAATGCAATACAAGTGCAGAAACACCAAATGGGCTGCATTACATCCACATCGTTTCAGTGCTAGAAACTCAGCAGTGAAGTGACTGTGCACAAAGAGATGAGCTCTGCAGGTTAGGAACAGATGGAAGTTGAGCCCACTCACCCTGGATTATAGCAGGGCTAAAGGCAAACCTGCAGCTAAGAAAACAGTAGTTCAGAGCCAGGGACCAGAAGAAATCTGGGGGATGTGAGAGCTTTGTACCTGGAGAAGAGACAGGGAGGTTACCATTCCCTTCTTTGGATCCTTGGAAGGTTAGGATGGTTATGAGGAAGTGGATTTGTTCAGTCCTTTCTCCAGGTGCTAGAACTGCATTCACTGGATGAAAGTTACAGGGAGGCCAACTCTAGGCCAAAACAATGAAGAGTTTTCCATCTTGGCCTAGTCTAGACAAGGGGGCAGCCTGCCTGCTGTAGCAGGTGTTACCTGGTCCACACACCTTGCCTAGAGAATCACAAGTCAGGATTCTCAATTAGGAGATCAGGAGGGATGACTTCAAAAATCTCTTCTAAACAGACTATTTGATTCTCCTATTAAATAGCTTAATTACAAATGGGTTTCTCTTTAAGTTAAAAAAAAGTGTGTTTATCAGCCAGAATTTTGAGAGATATCAACTACATTCTGCCTTTTAATAATGTGAACTCAATGATTAAAGGTTAAAAGTAAGCTTGATCTTCTAAGATTTATAATCAGATAATATGACTTTGTCTCTTTGAAATAAGTTGACAAAATAAGTTAGCTGGGGAACTTCAGTGAACATGTGGATTTGAGACATAAAGACTTAAAAGATTCAATTCTGTGCAGTAAGAACTTCCAGACACAGGAGTAAAAACTACATCAGTGCATCTGAGAATGAATGAAACTCTACTGAGCCTTACTGAGTAGCTAAAAATGAGCCCTGGAAACCTTCTTGGTATAGTTCTTGATTCAATCTCTTAGGAGATATAGCTTAGAATAAAAATAGGTTCTGATTCAATCCTTTCCAGTCACAGCTACAGCAAAAGGCCCTCTGCTGAGCAGGGGTCTCCATTAGCACAGGTCACTGCAGACAGGACCTGGGTCACCAGCCAGCTCCTCAATGCTCCTAAGACTGAGAATGTCACCTACGTGTCCTGAAGAGTCTCAGTCCCCAGTGTCCCCAAACATGAGCTCAAACTCAAGTTAAAACCAAACCTCACAGGCACTGGGTCATCTTTGTACATCCTGACGAAAACCCAGGCCTTCTCGTGTTCACTCCAAAGGTAAATATGCTTAGTGGGGAGTCTGACATGGCTCTAGGGAAAGGCAAATACAAACGATAAACTTCATTTGAAGAAAACATGGTTTGAGCAGGCAAGAGAAAGGGGCCTTTGTAGTTGGCAGGGGAAATGAGGGAGATGACGGGAAATGATATCAGCGTTCTAACTCGCACTGCACTGCGCTGCGCTGAGGAAGATAAATACTACGTGCAAACAAACAAACCTGAAATTCTGCATGAACTGCCGGAACTTGTCTGCCCTTTTGGCTAAGGGCACGATAACGTTAATAAGTGTGCTGGCCAGGTTGAGCTTTTCCTTTTTCACTTTCATGATTGGGCCAAACGGTCGAAACAAGACAAGTCGTTTGAATTCGTGTTTGTGGTCCCCTTTGAAGGTGAGCTCATACAAAGTGCCTTTATCCTTTTCTGTTCGATAGATCCCTGTTAACAGAAAAACAAGGAAAGGTAGTTAAAAAAAAAATACCTTGCCTGCTGAGTGCCTTTATAACCAAGATCTAGCACAAAATGCCTCTAAAAATTAATATTAAATTTCTGCCTCCAACAATTATTAGAAAACTTAAGATGCTCCCAATTAAAAATACTATAAAAATAAAAATATTACCAGTTTAAAAATTACAGTTTTGTGACTTCACAAAACATGGGAAAATGCTTATGTTGGACACAAAACTGTATTTATATTGTTCAGTTATTCAAAAAAGGGCTTGTAGGAAATATGCCAAATAAGACTGATTATGATGCAGCATAGGATGTGTCTTTTCTTCTCTTATCCACATTTTCTGCAATATGATTAGAAGAACATGAGCACTATTGTGTATTTTAAATGTGTGTGCTAAAATGATGGATTAGAAATCATAGCTATTCAGATGCACCGATCATGGTGATCTCTTCAGGGCATCTCAGAGGAGCTCAGGGCCAGTCATATGGGTCATGCAGCCCTCTGGAAGCTTCTGGAAGTATTAAAGCAAGCAACACATAAAGCGCCCTGCACGGTGGACAAGCACACACCATACACCACACTTAGTTTCGCCTCTTCCTTTTTCCCTCTAAGCAGTGTGGCTCAGCACTTCAGAGTACATACATTCAAGCCAGACTCCTTGGGTTCAAATCCCCTAGGCCCCCAGATTTACTGTGGAAAATGAACCTTCCTGTGCCTCATTTTTCCCATAGGTTCCCATGTAAAGTAAATGCTTCAATACATGTCAAGGTGCTACAACAGCGTAGCACACAGTAAGCAATACATGTCCACCACCACCTTTGCCCTGCCTTGTTCTGTCAGCCTTGTTGCAACAGGGCATACCGAGAAGACACTTGAGCAGGAGAGAAGTCAATTTACATTCCTTTCAGATTATGTTCCACCTCACGCTAGTTACTGAAACTCCACCGAGTGTCACTTGTCAGGATGAAGATGGCATCGCTGCATCTCAGTGGCAGGATGAGCCTCCCCAGGACCAGTGTGACAGAATTTCCCTGTCTAAAGAGCAAACAATTTCCCTGATGGCTAGGATCCATTTCCTGCCTAATATCATTGGTATGATAGGTGCTTTTTACGAAGTCAGAAAAAAGAAAAACAAATAAAATTCAACACATCACCAGAGAAGCTTTTAGTTTTGATTTATACCATGTTTTCTAGTCTATTTCTCCTCCTTCCTTTTAATCCTCATGTTTGTTGGAAAAAGCACCTCCTGGGCTTTGGGTCACCACAAAAATAAACCTCCAGGGAAAAATATGTCTGCCTCTGGTAAGTTACAGGCTTTCAAGGCTCCTCAGAAACCACTTCTCTTTCTTTCCTTACTCTCCCTGTCCTTTTCTTTTGTGGGAACCATATGTCTTCTTCACAAACACTGCCAAGTTCTCTTCTCTGTTCTTTCTCTCATAGGAGCTTTTCATCCTCCATCCCTGGCCTTACGGCCTCTTTGATCCTGTTCAAAGTCTGGGTCTTCCTGAGGCACAGGCAAGAGTCTGGTACTGGGAGTGTTCAAGATGGCCTCATTTCACACTGCTGTCCCACAGGCCCGCCTCAATCATTCAAAGGCACAATCCCCAGGCAGTGAGCACAGGTGATTTAAGGACACTGGCACAGAAGGACAAGGGCTAGGTTCATTTCTGGAGCCTGTGCTGTGTCTCTGGATAACAGGGCACAGTGAGCAACCACTCTCAGCATCAGGGAAGCCGGGAAAGCTCTGGTGAGCTCATGCTGGAAAAGAATTCAGTCTTGGTGCAGGGAGCAGTCACAAAAGACAGAGAGGTTTATTTCCTTGGAAGTTCAAAGGTCTTCTTCGAAAACCTTAAGTGGTTCCCTTCAAAGTCTGTTAATTCTTTCAGGCAATTAGTCCCCCTTGAGGAAACAGGCTCTTTTCCCACCTCAAATACCTAGAGCAGCTAGTTAACCACCAATTCCCAGGGTCCCAGTGAAGTGGGACTGAGTCAGAAAGGAGTCCCAGTTGGTCACAGAGGGTGCATCTGCATAAGTGGAGCAGGTCGGTGGCTGCATCTTGTCACATTTTTGTCTCTGGATGTCAGGAGCATCGCTTCCCCTCACAGCGATGAACCTGGAAAAGGCTGCTGACAGTTCTGCGCGCAGATAAACATGTATGTGGGCCGGGAGATTGTTTTTCCAATTGAGTCATTTTCTTTCTCAGCACTCGGATAAGAATCATTAATTTTAAAAAAATCTAGATCCACCGAGTTGAAAAGACAGAGAGCAATATATTCAAATCTGCCTCCAGAGACAGATTGCTGTTCATAAAGAATACCGAGACTCTTGTTAACAATGACTTCTATAACTACATAACATTATCCACCTCAGTGGTCACCACCAGCCTCAGCCCAGGTGGCAGAGATCGCAAGCCGAGCAGCCATGGTGTGGGGGTCTCAGGTGTCCCTCGCCTCCCTTCAGGAAGGTCACACCGAGATTTAAGGTGCTTTCTCATTGTATTCCACACACTGTGCCTTGAAACAGTTGTTACATCAACTTATTAACATGTTCCCTCATATGCTGCCTAATTATTTTAATTATGTCTTCTAAATCTGATTGCAGATCCTTTAATTTAATTTATTTTAAACAGAAGTTATCTAAAACACTCTTGCAACTTGGGTCCACCGAAACCCACAGCCGGTCATGACGCCCACACGTGCAACCTGGCGCACTGCACAGAGTGAGTGCTCACAGTTTGTCTTCTGTTAACACAGGGGACACCTACGAGAGTCCTTCTGCCTCCTGGACTCTTCAGTGGTGGAAACAAAAGCGGGGGGGGGGAGACAAAGTATTCTGAGGAACACAGAGATTTTTAGCCTAGAAGTTGCCAGCTACACTTGGCAAATGCCAAATAAATCAGTCACACAAACACCTTCCTTGTACAGACCAAGGGTCCCTAATGAGAAAATTTGAAGTCAAACTTTTTAAACACAGACATATGATGCTCAAAAGGTTTTGGGTTTCGGATTTGGGTCGGGGGGGGCCCTGAACTTGACAAATTTCTGCCTCAGCCAACCGGAGTGCTAGGATTACAGGAGTGTGCCACCACGCCCAGCTTGGATTTCAGATTTTTGATTCATATTGGTTAAGTCTATGCAAATATTCCCAAATCTGAAAAACTCCAAAATTAGAAATACTTCTAGACCAAAGCATTTCAGATTAGGGATAGACTCCCTGTAATATTTTATATTATACTATCACTTTGTGTACCATGTAAATTAAAAATCAAAATAAGAATTTAGCAGCTATCTTGGATCTTCTTTAGACACCATGACTGGCACCTCTCTGTCCTTCCTTACCTCCACAGATGTTCAGCTTACTCTGCGTGTGGTGTTTCAGCTCCTTGTGAAAATATCCCAATTCCTGGTTTACCTTATTCAAGGGGCTGGGCTCTGGGACTCCCAACTAGACAAGGGCATCTCCAGGAGTCCAAGAAATAGCTCAGCGTCCAGCTACAAAGTCTACTCCTCCAGTAGGGAAGGCACTAAGAAGATGCAGGCCCTCTCCACGTCCTGTCTTCACTTTGAAATCATGACATTGAAGAAGGAGGGTAATGCTCCTTACTGTCACATTCCTTACCTTCACTCGATGTAGGTGGACTCAGTTGGTCACCAGTGTTGCACTGCCAAGTCCATACAAGGTTGAGCCCATGCAAACATCCTGCCTGCAAAACCCCTCTCAAAAGTCCCATTCATTAATATCTTAGGAATGGCCCTCACCAGTTTCCTGTAGCCTGCAGAGTAAGTACCAATACCCGACCTAGCCTTCAAGACTCTCCATGCTACAGACGCAGTCTACTGTCTTCATTGCACATCTTTCTGCTGCCTCACATAAAATCTGGGCTGCAGTCAGGCTGGTGTCTGCTGAATCTTTGTAAGCATTCTCTCCCCTAGAGAAACTGGAGGTGGGAATGCAAAAATGGCTCAGGTGCTGGAGAAACCAGTGTGGCAATTCCTCAAAAAGTTAAATATATGTTCATAGCCATATTATTCACAACAGCGAACAGACAGAAACAACACAAATCTTCATCTATAGATGCATGGATAAACAAAATGTGGTATACATTCACATATGATGGAATATTATTCAACCCTAAAAAGAAATAAAATTCTGACATATGCTACAACAAGGACTAACCTCAAGGACATTATGCTAAGTGAAATAAGCTGGTCACATAAGGAAAATATTGTAGGGTTCCACTTTTATTTGAAGCACTAAAATTAGATAAAATCATACAGGCAAAAAATAGAACAGATATTACCAGGGGCTGGGGAAAATGAAAGCAGGGAATGTGGAGTTAGTGAATGAGTACAGAGCTTTCATTTGGAAAGATGGAAATATTTTATAATGGCTAGTGGTGATGGTTGTACAACAATTTCAAAGTAATTAGTATTACTGAATTGAATACTTAAAAATGATTAGTGATCAATTGCATGTGATGCACATTTTCCCACAATGACTGCTTTCCTTTAGTGAGGTCTTTATTTTCACACAGACACACATACCTCCACAGTCCAGTTCTTACTTTGGGCCCTTCTAAGTCTACTCCTCCCTCTCTGGGAAGAACTTCGTAACACTCTCAATTGCAAGTGACCCTTCATCTTCCAGACACCTCCGTATTACAGCATTTACACCTTCCCTTTCTGAACTACCTTTGTGGCACCTGAGAAAATGAAAGGACCACAAAATCCATCTGGTCCAGACAGATGGCAAACTGAACCTGGAGACGTGTGGCTTGCCTGGTCGACCAGCTGTACAGACCCAGGTCAAAAGCTTCCTGCCTAGAGTCACTTTCATACGCAGCACTAACAACCCAGAGAATAGAAAAGAATCAAGAACATGGAAACAGCTTTTGAGAAGTTCGAACGAGCAATATAAAGTCTTCGGTGAAATCCACTGTTCCTGGCTCATTTACCCACAGTTAATCCCTACATCCACTCTTACT